CCGATTTTGATACATTTATTATTTTAATCGTGAAGTTTTATGTTATCTATCAACTTAATATTCAAATATTTAATAGAAATATAGTCATGACATCCTATTATCCTAACATGTGTTGTGATATTCTGATAAACAAATTTTTTTAATATTAATTTTAGTTCTTAAACGTTTACTATTTTTTATTTTTAATCCTTAAACTTTTTCACTTATTAACATTTTAAGCCTTAGAATTAAATGTATTTGTTTAAGGAGAAAATTTCTAAAGACTAAAATTAAATAAAATTTGTTCATAATTAAAACAAAAATTGACAAAAGTTCATTAACTAAAAATATATTTAATCATGGAATAAATGTTATCTTTAGTAGGATGTGTGTAAATAGGTTTTATGCAAATTAAACCTTTTTCTTTATATCTAAGTTTTTTAATTGGAGAATATTTATCAGAAGAAATCAAATACTAAAATGAATTCCAATATTTTAAGAAATTGATTCTATTTTTAAGTTTATGAATTTTACTTTTTTTTTTGTCTATATTGTAAAGTTTATGAAACAGTTAGACAAAAAAAAAACATGTATAAAAAACTAAAATAGAATATATAAATTATAAAATTTAAAAATAAAATTGTAAGAAAGAAAAGTAAATTAAATACAATACTAAAAAGAAAATGAAAGATATCATAGGAGTATGAAGTGATATATTATTGATGGAGAGTTTTAGTTAGATGGAAACGTGAGGCATGAAAGCGTAGTAATTCGATTTGAACACACACCACATTCCCTCTTCCCTTGTCTTCTCTACCATCCGAATTTCCAACGACCTATGTTTGCATTCTCAGTTCCTTCACTCTCTCTCACCTCTGCTTCCATTCTCCGCTATCTATTATTCCTACGTAACTGCCCTTTCCTTTTCTCTTTTCATTCTTCATTATGTCTCATCATGGTTTTACTATCAACAAAGGATGATCATCTAGACACTCATCTCTACAGATATATATATAATTTCCCTTAGATATAGTTTTTCTCCACATACAAGGAAGCCAACACTCATACTTCAAGGTTTTCAGCCATATGTCAGTGATGTTTTAGGTCTATTAGGCTTAATTTGATCCATCTTAATCTGATGATTGAAGATTTTACTCCTAATTGGTTATATTTGTGTGAATGCTATTTGTATTTGTTCTAGCTAATTTGGCTTAGCGTTGTTATTTCTTTGTTTGTTTAATTGTCGTATGTTTCAGTGATTTTTACGTCATGAAAGGAATTGTTGGAGCTTTTACGTAAACTAGAAATAAGATCATACAAGTGTGTATGAGTAAAATTAATATTCATCTTATAAGTCGTTTTTGTAAGGTTGAGTGAGGTCATAACCCATTCTTAAGATGATATGAAAGTCTATCTTAGCGATTATTGATTATTATTGAATTTATTGTATCATCTACTATCGAACAGATATCTAGTCTTTTAAATTTCACATTCATGATTGTTTAGTCAAGATTAACTCCTCACACCTTTCATGCTCTGAGTTGATATGTGTATTAGGATTAACACTTTAATCCGTTATATTTTATCTAATTAGTTTAGTCAAATATCTTTTGGTTATCTTCTTAACCGTTTTCTGTTTTCAAGCTAACTCTAGCTTTTGTATTTAAACAATAAGGATTGTACATTGTTAGTAGGTTGATCAATAATAATCTGAAGTTTTCCCTTTCATGTTTTCTGCTGATATGCTAACATGGTATCATCGTCCTCAAGATCCATAACTTCCGCATTCCTTTAATTTCATTGAACCTTTCCTTTTTCATCTATTCTTTACCAACCATGGCAGAATCCAATAAAAATTCCAACCAAAACCAACTTTCCGATCACCTTATCAACCCAAGCAATCCGTACTTTCTTCATCCTGGAGAAAATCCAGCTCTTGTTCTCGTCACACCATTACTTTCTGATACTAATTTTCAACAATGGAAACACGATATGCTCGTGGCTCTGGAAACAAAGAACAAAGAACACTTTATTCTTGGCAAGATTCCATGTCCAGATTCAAAAGATCCTTTGCATGAGGCATGGCGTCGCTGCAACAAGATGGTAATGTCATGGTTAACGCGATCTATGACCTCTGACATAAAGCAATCTGTCATGTGGATGGATACCGCTGCTGAAATTTGGAAAGACGGCTATTTTGCTTTTATGAGTACTTTGTGCTGATGACGCCTTCTGACCCATACCAAGTAGAATGCATGGATGCATGGATGCAATGAAAACGCAAGACAGGAATGATTCTTTATTTATTCCATTTTTTTTTGTGTAACGCCCTTTCATATGCCTCTATCTCATATGCATGCGATGCAGTTTATGCTCATGTGTTTAGTCCTAAACCCCTTACCGATCTTGTACTAGTTTTAGGGATCTAGCAACCCTTACCAATCTTGTACTAGTTTTGGGGATCTAGCAATCCTTACCGATCTTGTACTAGTTTTGATGATCTAGCAACCTTTTCCGATCTTGTACTAGTTTTAGGGATCTAGCAACCCTTACCGATCTTGTACTAGTTTTAGGGATCTAGCAACCTTTACCGATCTTGTACTAGTTTTAGGGATCTAGCAACCCTTACCAATCTTGTACTAGTTTTGGGGATCTAGCAATCCTTACCGATCTTGTACTAGTTTTGATGATCTAGCAACCTTTTCCGATCTTGTACTAGTTTTAGGGATCTAGCAACCCTTACCGATCTTGTACTAGTTTTAGGGATCTAGCAACCTTTACCGATCTTGTACTAGTTTTAGGGGTCTAGCAACCCTTACCAATCTTGTACTAGTTTTGGGGATCTAGCAACCTTTACCGATCTTTTACTAGTTTTAGGGATCTAGCAACCCTTACCGATCTTGTACTTTCTTATTGGTGTTGTTGGATGAAAAACTGTTGCCCCAAGGAGGATGGGCAGGAGACGCTTGATGTGCCCTTGTGTTGGTGGGCAAAAATAGATGGATGAGAGGAATTCTAGTGTTGCCCTTGCCATTCGAGTATTGTAATGTCTCTCCAAGCGTCTGCTTGTGATAGGTTTTTTTTAATTTCATTTTTTGTTTAGCTTCGGCTTTTTCATATTTGAAGCTTGCCTTTTTTTGCTATTTTTCTAAATTCTTCGGCTTTTTCAACATTTGCGAAGCTTGCCTTTTTCTCATGTTATTGCTTTTGCTCTTTATTGTCATCATTGGTGGAGGGATCCATTCCCATGATGTTATTTACTCAATCTTTATTGATGAGTATTATTTTGGAAGCCACTTCTGGCTTTGGTTAGGAAGTCATTCCTGGTCTTGACATTCTCTTGAATCATCATTCATTTGGTGAAGAAGTAAGGCGTGGTGGCCTCTTCATGCTTATAGACTTGCTTGTTTGGTCGATTCTATTCTATTCCACTATTGATATGTCCTTGCTTAGTGGGCACATAGAATTACTTGGGGTTGTCATTTGATACCATTTTAGCTCATGTTCGGCTATTTTGCTTTTATGAGTACTTTGTGCTGATGACGCCTTCTGACCCATACCAAGTAGAATGCATGGATGCATGGATGCAATGAAAACGCAAGACAGGAATGATTCTTTATTTATTCCATTTTTTTTTGTGTAACGCCCTTTCATATGCCTCTATCTCATATGCATGCGATGCAGTTTATGCTCATGTGTTTAGTCCTAAACATGCAATTCAATTTTCTTTTCAATGTCGAGAAAGTAACCTGTGCGTGTTAAGGTTAATGTTGATGATTCCTTTTTATCCATGTTGTTTGTGATTATTGTCGGGATATGTTTTTTTGAACTCAAGGTTTCAGTAGTTCCTTGATTATCTAGTCGATGTATAGTCAAGCGTCTTCAAACTCCTTTCAGGGATGTCTCGGCCTTCCCTCTACGAGTATTCACTTACATTTTTTGTGTATCTTTTTCGGTACCATTTTAATGCCACAAGGGCCAAGAGACAAGAAGAAAGGGAATGTTTGTATTTTTTCAGAAGGGTTATTAGAATGGATGTTTTTTCTAAAAGGGTTTTTTAGAAAAATGGCTGGCCAAGGTAGGCTTTGGTGTTTAGGGTTATTAAACAAAACGTATTTACTACAAGGAAGTTATCGTTGTGTTTTAATCTTTTTGGAAAGTGGAGTGATAACTTGGGCTTCTGCTTTGATTGAATGATCCCTCTTGAGCCGCCTTTCGATTTTCATCTCAGGTCGCTACTTTAACGTCCTAACTTTTACCTAGGTTACTTTAGATGTGTTTCCTAGAAGACGTTTTTCTTTTGATCCTTACTTTTGCCTAGGTTTCCCTTTTCGATTGTGAGCTCCTAGCGGATCTTGCCCTAATTTTACGTAGCCCCCCTTAGTAGATTTCTACCGGGCTTTCATTTTTGCAGCGTTTGTATGGGATGCCCTATTTTTATTAAACCCAGTCATGTTTGGATTCCTGATTGTTTCTTTATTATCCTTTCCATGTTATTATTGAGCAACATCTTTGTCGTAAATACATCTTGTTTATTAAGGGTTAATGGATGAGGCCTATAGTGAATATTTAAAGGGAGAAGAGAAATGAAAGAATGTTATGGCATTTAAAACAGTACTTCCAATTTACACGTGCCCCTTTAGCAAAGCTCGGAGGCCCGGGCATGCCCTAAGTTCGTGATTCGTACACAGAGAGATTAACCGAGGTTGCCCCCTAGAGAGGCATGGTTGACGATTGGTTGAACTATGTTAGGAATGCATTCCCACTTGCTTGAATGTGGGTGTTTCGACTTCGGAGTGAAACCTTTATGAATTCTTGCTTTCTAAAGGGAATACTCAAGTTGCCTTTCGATTTTCAACTTGAGCATGCATTGCTTTTTTACATATATATGTATATCCCTAACTTTAGCATAAGATGTATGCTATCGGGATTTTGATTCCTTTACCCTAATTTTTGCCTAGGACGCCCTTTACGGGTTTTCGTCCTAGCAGGTTTTTGTCATGCAATGCCTTTATTCTTCAATTGGATTTTGTTGTAATTCCCTAGAAGCAAGGATTCATTCATTCTTGATCATTTCTCCTATCCCAACAATTGTCATTTCCACATGGGGAACTCAGTGTTTGAATCGTCAATTAGGACGTGTTATGCCCCCCGGTCTTCTTGCACAATTACTAGTTTTTAAGTGCTTCCAATTTGATGTATAAATGCCATAACATTCTTTCATTTCTCTTCTCCCTTTAAATATTCACTCTAGGCCTCATCCATTAACCCTTAATAAACAAGATGTATTTACGACAAAGATGTTGCTCAATAATAACATGGAAAGGATAATAAAGAAACAATCAGGAATCCAAACATGACTGGGTTTAATAAAAATAGGGCATCCCATACAAACGCTGCAAAAATGAAAGCCCGGTAGAAATCTACTAAGGGGGAGGGATCCATTCCCATGATGTTATTTACTCAATCTTTATTGATGAGTATTATTTTGGAAGCCACTTCTGGCTTTGGTTAGGAAGTCATTCCTGGTCTTGACATTCTCTTGAATCATCATTCATTTGGTGAAGAAGTAAGGCGTGGTGGCCTCTTCATGCTTATAGACTTGCTTGTTTGGTCGATTCTATTCTATTCCACTATTGATATGTCCTTGCTTAGTGGGCACATAGAATTACTTGGGGTTGTCATTTGATACCATTTTAGCTCATGTTCGGCTATTTTGCTTTTATGAGTACTTTGTGCTGATGACGCCTTCTGACCCATACCAAGTAGAATGCATGGATGCATGGATGCAATGAAAACGCAAGACAGGAATGATTCTTTATTTATTCCATTTTTTTTTGTGTAACGCCCTTTCATATGCCTCTATCTCATATGCATGCGATGCAGTTTATGCTCATGTGTTTAGTCCTAAACATGCAATTCAATTTTCTTTTCAATGTCGAGAAATTAACCTGTGCGTGTTAAGGTTAATGTTGATGATTCCTTTTTTGAAGTTTTCCCTTTCATGTTTTCTGCTGATATGCTAACAATGTGTGTGTGCATTTCACATGTGTCTGAAAGTTTCTCTATTAGACCTAAATACCTGTGATGTTGATAGTGTTGAGAATGGATTTCTTGACCCAGGAGATCATCATGCTTAGCCCTGAGGGTGAACTTAAAATAAGTTTTGGCTATCAATGCAATAGTGATAGAGGCGTACCTTGCAATGAAATCCACAGAACAAGCAGTTTCTCCTGCTTGTCCGGGGCTGCCTTAAGTGCAAATGCTACACTTGCCAACACAAACATCTGCAATGGAGTAATAGGAGAAGAAATCCTTCCGAGTTTGGACTCTCCTAAATCATTTCGTAAGGTACCCTCCTCGTCGAGTTTTCCAAAGTTGGACATATTATCGTCTTCTGTCCATAGTAGTTTGTCAAACCTAAGTTGCAGTCCATCCACTCCAAGTAATATGCTTGAATATGACCCTTGTTCATTAAAATCCATGAGTGCTCCTTCTAGAAGTGAAGGTTTTCTCAATGCCATGGAAGTTCAGGTTGCTGGAGGAGCTGCTGGTGAAGATAGAGTTCAAGCAGTTTGTTCTGAAGAAAAAGGCTGGCTCTTCTGTGCAATTTATGATGGATTTAATGGGAGAGATGCAGCTGACTTTCTGGCTGGTACCCTTTACGACACTATCATAAATATGTTATGCTGGGATTTGGAACCAGATTCCATAAAAGTTTCTGACGATGTGGATATGGGTGGATCCTTTCAATATAATTTGGATGATAGTCTTATTCTTCAGGAGCATCAATCTCTGTTAACATTTAAGGGAAACAATTCTATTCTTGACTGTTTTGCAAACAGTACTCCACCTTCCAAGTCAGAAGCATCTCCTAAATCATTTTCACAAACAGTACTTGATGGCCTCCAGCATGTTCTTAGTCAGGTTGAGAATGATTTCCTGTACATGGTTGAGCAAGAAATGGAGGAACGGCCAGATTTAGTTTCAGTTGGATCTTGTGTTTTACTTGTGCTTATTCATGGGAATCATCTATATACACTTAATCTAGGCGACAGCAGAGCAGTATTGGCAACATGCAGCACAGATAACAGAATGAGTGGGAATGAGAGATTGAAGCCTATCCAGCTCACAGATAGTCATACTGTTGACAATGAAGCTGAAAGAGCTCGAATTCTCGCTGATCATCCTGATGATCCTAAAACCGTAGTAGCCGGGAAAGTGAAGGGAAAACTAAAGGTTACACGAGCTTTAGGAGCAGGCTACTTGAAAAAGGTTGGCATTCATTTTTATATTATAGCCAATAAATTTCCCAAAGATTTTAAATTCTGATCTTTTTTCCAGGTAAGAAAAGATGTAAGGTTATTATAATATCTCTTTATTGATATCCAAGCTACTAATGATGAGAGGATGGAAGTGTCTTGCATTTATTGAGTTTGCTGGTTTATAAACCCAATTATGCAAGAGTAAACTATTTGTCCTACCAAACAAATAGACTTGATTTTCTTATTTTTTTTCCCCACAGAAAAATCTTAATGATGCATTGATAGGAATCCTTCGAGTACGTGATCTTACAAGCCCACCATATATATCAACTGATCCATCGCTGAATGTGCACAAAATCTCAGATTCTGATCAATTTGTTATAGTTGGGAGTGATGGTTTATTTGACTTCTTCAGCAATGATGAAGCAGTAAAGCTTGTAGAGTCTTATATCTTGAGAAATCCTTTTGGCGATCCAGCAAAATTTCTTATTGAGCAACTAGTTGCAAGAGCAGCTGATTCTGCAGGTCATTTTTCAAGATCACATGCTAAATTTAATTTGATTTGCTTGAATATAAATTTACGTCGTTTTATGATTGATTACATAAGTGGATTCTCTTGCAGGTTTCAGCATGGAAGAGTTGATGAATGTTCCAGATGGGAGGAGGAGGAAGTACCATGATGACGTAACTGTAATTGTGATCATCCTTGGTATGCATCAACGGACTTCAAAAGCATCAATTTGCATCTAGAGACTGGCCAAAGAAAATTTGCATCTGAAGCTTTTTGATGGACACCTTAGTCAATGGTATTTCTCAGGAAATTTTGATACTCAAACTGTACATAAGACCATTAGAACTTAGAATCATTGGTTCCTTTGGTATTTAAAAAATTTTCAGTAGTATTTCTATCTGTTGGAACATGAATTGTATAAATGTTTTCCTTGTACATAATATCAATGAATTTAGCTATTATTTTGAAAAATGTAGATAAAGATGTATAAGTAAAAGATTATTATGAGTTTATTTGCTTTATATTTGGATCGAGAAACATGCATGGTCGAATAAGTATATGAAAAGATGTAAAAGAATCTAAAGTTAAGCATGCATAAAATAGAAGTGCTTCACTTTTTGCCTTTCGGGACTTTCCTGGGCAAAAACATGGAGTCTCTTGGTTTCCTAACATTCTTTTTTGTAGTTATTGATAGAAAATAATTAACTATTTTGAATTTGGATGCTCCCATTAATATGAAATATGCTATTATGGAGAGATACATATTTTTGTAAGTAAAGACTTATTGGTTATAAAACTCAACAATTATATTTGTAAAAATCATATCTTTTTATCATATGTTACTCAACAATACTAATAAGTTGTAAAATACTTTATAGATAACTTTATACCTTAAACATGTGGTATGGAGTTTGATCTATGGTATATATATCAAAAAATATTTATTATTTAAATAGATTTTAGTATCTCAAGGGATTAATTCTAAGCTTTTAGCTAAAGATATCTTGGTTTATCAAAAATATGTTACTTAAATAGGGTCCAAAAATATCTTATTTTATGTTGATATATATTTCCTAATTTTCTTGTTTTAGACATGGTTGTTTACCCTATAAAAGAGATTTGAGAATGTATTGAAGGTTTAGGATTTAGAGACTAAGTTTAGACTAGGTTTCGTATGCCGATGTGTAACATCTTGATCCTTTTGTATACATGTATAAAACCTTGTAGCTGATCTGTGGGTCTTATGCTGAGATTAATCCTTACTTCATTAATAAAACTCATTTGCTTATAAAAATAAGTAAATAAAATACAAGTTTTTTTTTCTTTCTTTCAACTGTATCGAATATTGATTTTGATTGGAAGGTTGTTGTATAATTGTATCTAAAAAGGTTCTGACATAGCTTTCTCAGTTTAACATTTCTCAATTCCTAGCCAATCCAACCACTGTGCACCATACAGTAGCCACCAAAATAATGCGTTATGTGAAAATATCCCTAGGTCAGGGACTAAATTTTCTATCCAACTTGGACCTGCAACTGAAGGCATATAGTGACAACGAGTAGGTATGATGCCATGGCACTAGATTGGTGACAGGCTTTTGTGCATATCTCGAGAATTCCCTCATTTCTTGGAAGTCAAAGAAGCAGGGGATTGCCTCCAAGAGCCCCTGTGAATCAGAGTAATGAGCAATGACAATAGTAACCTGTGAAATTCAATGGCTAACATATGAACTTCAAGGTTGCTTTTAAAATTCCTTCCCTCCTTTTCTGTGATAATCAATCTGTCTGCATATAGTTGTGAATTTAGTTTTTCACAAATGGATAAAACACGTTAAGGTGGATTGTCAGTGTTAAAAAGAGTCAACACATTGATGCATAAACTAAAGCTTCAAGTCAACAAGTTTTTTGTCATATTGTTTCTAAGTTGGTCTAATTAACCTATATTCTCCGGCTTGCAAGGAATAACAAATGATGCAAATTTGGTGCAAGGTCGACACATTGTTAGCTATGATACACTTTTGTTTTTCCTTTAACTTTTATGTATATTTTGTGAGTTAAGTGCGTGTTTGCTTTAACTTTTGGACGTGAAAATTCACGTTTGTGAGAAGCAAAAAATTGTAGCTTCTACGTAAATTAGCTTGTAAACATGGAGAGAGAATGAAAAATCACGTTTCTAAATCTAAAGCAAACACGCACTAAGATATTTACAAACTTGATTTTATTCTTTGTAGTTAAATATTTGGTAGTAGAGGAGAATATTCTCTATGATATAGTGTAAATAAATAGTTACTATAGTAATACAAAAATCAAAAATCAATGAAATGATTTCATATTTTCATCACTCCCACGTTGTTATCCTTTTGCGTATTTCATTTAGCTTTATTCTCGGTTAACAATTATCATTATTATATTTTATTTGTAAGTTTATAAAAGAAAGATGACACTTTTTGGGTATATGTTTAAATTTAAAATTTATAATATTAGATTGATTCCCATTCATGTTAATTTAGAATTTAGATCGGGCCTAGAAGTGTTTTTAGTGAATTTCTCTAAAAATAAAGTCCACCCACACGTACATGTCCCCAAAATCTGCAACCAACTTTGGCACAAATCACGGCTTAGTATAGTGTTCAGATAGTATAGTATATCAATATTGAAAAGTTAACGTGATATATAATACTGTACATAATCATTTTTATTTCTCACTTGCTTTTAACTTTTTATTTTTTATTTTTTTATATACACATACCAAAAATATATTCTAAAAGCAAACGGTATAGCTTTTTTGTGGTCCTACTTTGATATCCACATAACAGTTTTCATCTTTCAAAATAACTCGGTCCTAATTCCCAAGGAAGAATTCGTCCAGTAACGTAGCTTTTGGTAGTCTGCATATACACTTCACTATTTCAGATTTTAAGTAACGTACCTTTTGATAATATGCGGATACATTTCCTTCCTCAGAAAGTGTGCTAAACATTAATTAGACCCCCCACCTCCTAGCTAAGGTCATTTTAGGACTGCAACAGGAAACAAAGATTCTTCTTCCAAGTTGCACAACTTGAACCAGTTTCCAAATTCTACCCACCTGACATTAGAGGTCCCTCACCAGTCACCATTCCTTTTGGTCTATTCAAAAAATGCACTACCTCTTGAATCATCCAGAGAAAATGTCAACCTTTAATTTAACCCATTTATAATCCATATAATGCTTCGACTTTCCTCAAAAAATGCGCTTTGCACATGACAATTTCTTTTATCTGAATTGTCTTCAACTTTATCCTTTTGCAAATGAACATGGATTTTGACACTAGATCCCTATCCCTCCACAATGCAGTCAAACTTTAAAGGGAATATCATCCCATTAACAATGATGATGGTATGCCCTTTTTTCTTGTTACCATCAGAGAATTTCCTTTTCCTTAAACTGAATCCATAACATATATGACTATCAAAGGTGCCACATTAGGCCATGATTTACGATTTGGTATATAAACAAAAGCTAAAACCAATCATAGGAAATGTTACCGAAACATTCTTTCTGAAACATTCTCTCATCAGGCAAAATTCATGTAAATCTTGTTTTGACATTGAAACTCACAATGAAACTTGTTCTACTAAAATTCAATTGCATCAGAAAGTGTGGAAACGTTAAAACAATCAGACTAAAAATGAGTTTCACTTGTTATTTGGTGGATCTCTTTACCAAATTAACAGAATTCACATGAATTTCAACAAATCAATAAGTGTTGAAAGATTTGAAACTGTAATCAGCTTAGAGCTGTAAATTCAGCTTCTATGCTGCTTGAAGCGCAAATTTAGCCTTACAAATCACTAGACTCGGCATAGTAAGGAAAATTGAGTAGATATATGAAGACTTAAATACAATTATTATTTTTCTATTGATTAAAAAAAAGCACCCCTACAAAAATATTAATGCCAAATTATCTAGGCCATAATAATAATAATAACCATATCATAGTGCAAGCAACATTCTCTTAACTTTCAAGTCTCACTCACATAACGGAACAGCCATTAGCATTTTCATCACTAAAGATCTCAAAGGAAACCAACGGTGCTGATTGAAAGTGGTAACCATCTTGGAGACCAGCATACACATAGGGTGAAGATGGAACATAGTAAGAAGGATAAAATCTGTTATAAGATGCGACATAAACCATCGGAGGATAACCAGTTTCTGGGTACGAAAATGATTGTTGTTGACATGTCTCATTCACTTGGCCCACAAGATCCTGAAACTGCATTCCAGTGTGTGCAGGTGCAGCAGTAGAGGCTGAACTCAAACCATTGCCACCACTCTGAACTTTCTTTTTCTTCTTACCAGAACCACCACCACCACCCTCTGCCGGAGCCTGGACACCGGAGGGGGGCTTCTCCGGCGAGTTGTCGCCGGCTTTTTTGTTGCTGCTCTTGTTCTCACTGTTGCACTTGGAACTACTAGTAGTAACATTTTCAGTTCCCTTGTTTTTCAATGGTTCTTTTGCTTCATTCTTCTTATTCTTGTTCCCCCCTTTGCCGGAGATTTTTCCGTCGCCGTTGAGACTCTCCGGCCAAATCTCGGCGTGTTTTCCGGCTCTGACCAGTTTCCTGAGAAGGGTCTCAACACTAACACTTCCAGTGACAGTTACTTTCTGCTGCTGCTGATCTATGGTTGCAGTGAAAACACCTGGCAAGTGCAACATTTTCTATTAGAACTTGAGTTTGAGCCTAAGGGACTAACTGCATGTTTGGATTTTTTTAGAAACACTTCTAAGAATAAAATATAGAAAAAAAAAATGAAATAAGTTTCAGATAAACTACAATCAACTTATAGACATGTTTGGACAAATTTGTTTAGAAGTACTTCTCCAATTTGTAGAAGTTAATTTGTTAAAACCCTCTCATATAACTTCTCCAAAATCTTTTTATTTTTATTTTTTATTTTACTTATACATGAAGCTAATTTTAATTTATAAAAAAGTTCTTTTCATTTTTTTTATAAATATTTTTGAAGAAATTTGCCCTTAATTCACTCACAAAAACTAGCTCGTAAAATTTGGTTTGATTACACTATTGTTTAGCTCACTGATCAATGTGGCGTGTCTAAAATTTTCTTGTGTGTTTATCCACTATACTGTTTCCTGGATTAGAATGTTATGTGAGATAATAACAGTGTAATTTACTCGTGCATGGAAAAACAAGAAAGAAGAATGCTCCGTTGAATAAAAAAAATAAAAAGTGCACGGAAAAAGAGTTGAAATGGTGAAATTTGTAGTAAGTTCTCCTTTCTACTTTTCTGGCATATTACAGAAGGGAAAAATTTCTGTTCAAGCTTTTGTGGAATAGTACCGTCAATGCTCTTCAGAACTTTCTTTACTTTCCTCCTGCAACCTTCACAGTGGATGGAAACTTTCAAGAACCATGTCTAGGAGAACAGAAGAGAAACAACTGATTAGTTTTAGTGGATTGAAGAAGATGAAATTGAAGAGGTGAAATTGAAGAACCAAAAAAAGTGTACATACATAAGTGCATTATGTGTGTTTTGATTGAGGTAAGGTGGTAGTACCTGATAGTTCAAAGGTTGTGAAGCAAGTTGAGGAGGTTTTGCATCCATTAGAGAGAGGGAAGTGGAAGTGGTTGAATGAAAGATTGAAGGGATTGGAGAGTTGGAAGGAGGGAAAGAAGAAGGAGTGTGTGTGGGGTATAAGAAAAAGGGAAAATGCCAAGAATGTACTTGGGAGTGTGCACTCTGTTGGGGAGCAAAGTGTGCAGGCAAGGATAGATGGCTATCAAAGTATAATGTGACAATGACAGAAGGACACTGCATTATTTTGCAACACAGCATTATTCTACTACCTTCCTTCTTCAATTTTTATTTAGAAAAAGTAGTACATGCATCCACTAAGTTCTGTCTTATATTCTCATTCAATTACATAATATCACGTATGATAAGTTTGTTGGTTTTATCATAACTATTTAAAGAGTTATACTATTAATAATTTTTTATTAGTTATAGTGTAGGATGATTAAACTCTTTTTGTTAAAACTCATCCCCTATGGTAGTGGTCAATTTTGAAAGAAAAGTAGGATACTAGACAAAAAAATTAGTGACCCTTACTTTATTTTTTTAGACACTCGTGTTCTGTGATAATTATATTCTCTAATTCTTTTTCTATGCTCACATTGTTTTCTTGTCTCTTATGGATGTACTTGGCTGTTGTTTGCATCGAAAGATATTTATTTGTTGTTTGTAGAAGGCTGTTTGTTACTCTTCTAGACAAGATTCTTTATAGTAACTTTGTTAACTACATCAAATGACATTTCTATCATGTTTATCATGGATAATAATAGAACCATTTTTTAAGATCTCATGATTTACAGATTAGGCTGTTCTTAGCAATTGACCTAAGTTGGATTAGGATTTAAGTTGTCTTCAGTGTTCCTTGAGGATACCCCTTGTAGGAACAAACGCATAGGAACAAAATTTCAGGTCCTTGAGTGTCTTTTGACCAACACCCGCCCCCCTCCCCCAACCTAGTTTATGACCTATTCTCTTCTGTCTTTTATAAAGAAAAAACCCATATATAAAGAAACATTTTTTTTTAATGTAGGTGTAAATCACACCGTAATTTTTGTGTAACTAGATTATTTTAAACTTGATTGTATTTATTTTGTCGTCTAAATTTCATAATTTTGCAAATTTTAGCATTCAACTTTTGAAATTGTATATTTCGTCACCCAATTTTTAAATTTTTACATATTTTGTCACCTCATTAATTAACTATTTATCGTTAATTGATTGTTGATAAAACACATTAATGATTAATACAATATCATTATTCTTATGCTCCATCATCTATGTCATATTAGAGGTTAACCATCAACTAATGTGGTGGTAAAACATGCCAAATTTTGAAAATTAGAAACACGAAATGTAATTTCAAAATTTAAATGACAAAATTTATAAAATTATAAAATATGAGAGAAAAAGAACAATTAAGTTGATATTTTAATATTTTATATTCTTCTGTCTTATAATAAGTGTTATATTATATAAATTAAAAATAAATTATTAAATAAATAAAAAAGAATAATTATTTTTAAAATTAATCTTATGATAAATTTTCTTTACTGAAAATGATATAATATAATTTTTTTTATAATATTATTAAGGATATAGATAAAAAAAAGTAATTAATACAGTATTGAAAAAATTAATATGACATTTATTTTGAAAGTTTTTTTTACTTTTTTTTTCCCTTATGTAACACTTGTAATGAGGGATGAAATTACATATTAAATTTGGGTTGGAGATTTCCTCTGTTCCACGAGGCAGCAGAGAAGCAATAAATAATATGGGAATAGGAAGTAGAGCCAAAACTTTGGGTAAAGAGGAGGTGAAGAATATATGCCCTGCTAGCTGCTGCATGACAATTAAGGGGAACAAAAAAAGGACCCTTTGCTTCTAGTTTGAACGAAAATCACTTAATTTCACCAAATTTACTGCCAAGAAAAGAAAAGACTAGTCTGTTCCATGAAGGAAGTGACTGCAGCAAAATGTAGGGTAGAAAATGTCCAATCCATGACCAAATTTAACATAACCCCTTCAACATTGGTTACTGTTTTTTCATCTCCAGTGTCTACTTGCCACATCAAAAGCTTCCCTCGAGGAAATTTAAATCAGCATGTCATGTATTTTCACCTGAGAATGACATTCAAACCCAACTCTCAAGTAAGTAATGCATTTCTACATAATTCAGGTTATGTATTGATTGGCCATTTGAAAACCAAAAAGTCACAAGAAATTTTACCCTGGTGAAAATTGGTGAATGGACAAGGACGAGACAAAAGCAATGGGTTCATTTTCCATCCAAAACTGCACTTTTCCAATGCATGAGGTAGGCTTGTTAAGACCTTATATTGGTAATTCGGTAGGTAAACTGAATAAATCTGCCATCAAGATTCAAGAGTTCAGATCTCGAAAATACTAATTAAATAAATAATAGCTATCAATTTTTTTTTATTAAAAAATTACAATAGTAGTGCATTAATAGTAGAGTATCCTTTTGACCAAAAGTGATGATCAAATAATACTCTCCTTGAGATGACAGCTCAAGTAATTAAAATCATCCCTCTTCTGCTAAATTTTCAACAAGATAACATTTGCTATAAACTATTATATCACATTATGCACACCCTCCCCCTCCCCCCGAAAAAAAAATATAGGAATTATTATTATTATTATTTTCATTTTTAATTAAAATAAGAGTTTAACCGGAATATCCTTTAACGTTAAGTGAGTTAAGAGAAATAAAATTTGAAAAAATTAATTTTTTAAGCACAATCTAAAATTATTAGACGATCAAATAATCATAAATTATCATTAGTAAGATGTTTAATGTAGTTATTGTAAAAGTTGATTTAGTGTATTTTATTTACTTAAATTTTAATTGATAAAATTAACTTCTTTCGATATGATGAGATTAGCAAAATCTTTTCTTATCAACATAGTTAAGAAAAGTATCTATTTATAACATTCTCTCTTACTAGATCTAAAATGATACCTCTGATTATAACACCTTACTTAAAAAGAAGATCAAACTCATACTTTGGTAAATAAATAAATAAAAGAGTAAATACTTATTTTGTTCTTTGATTTTGGAAGACATTGCCATATTAATTTCTGAAATTAAAAAGTTGTCAAATAAGATTCTAATATGTCAAATAAATCATTAAATTTACTTCCTGTCATTTTGATCTCTAAATATATATATCAATGTTATCATTATAATCACATACTTTTTTTGAATTTTACACTAATATAATTGTAAATTTATAATTTCTGAGATATTTTATAATTTCTTATTTTCAAGAACCAATATGTAGCACCTCATGAATTTAGAGAACAATTTGAATGTTCACTAAAAAAACAAAAAGTCAAACTACTAACTTATTTAGGTACCAAGGTCACTTACAAAATAAATTACATGAAATTCTATCCAACGTAAATTAAATGGCATGGGACAGTGGACTAACCCCTCCTCATACAAGCAATTGAGGCTAGGGTCAGTTGTACATTTGATCCAAATTAATTGTTTCAGCCACAAAGAGTGGTGATCGACATAATCCAGCATTTGCATCTGTCACAAAACATCACATATTCAATTTATTTTGATATGAAATCCATAACTGTAATCCCTGTGCCGTGATATTAGTAATCTTGAGTCCTAAGCAAGAGTGCTATTAATCCAAGTATACCTGTTAGATGATTAGACATAACAAGTAGTACTCGTTGTGTCATCACCAAATTACACAAACTTAACCCAATATTGCATTGAGCAAATTCGTTTGCAAACCTCGTCATGAAAAAAACAGTGCACAGCTGAAAGTTTCGAGAACCTTATAACATCTCCATCGAGAGATGCATATCTCTCTTTCTTATTAAGACCTTGCTTGTAAAATATCCGATGCTTGTATAAGCACCGGTGATAAACTTTTTTTTAATACACAATGTACCTTTTAATAATAATAATAATAAATAAATAAATAAACTTAAGACTACAAACATCTTCTATAAGAAACAATCTTATTAGCCAAATAAAATCACTATAGACAATAAAATGCTTTCTCTAAATATTTAACACAGCCGTATAGCCAATAATTGAAAAGGTTAGCAATAATACCTTGTACACTTCACTTTTATAAAAGTTATTTCATTTATTTATTTTTTCCAAAAACTGAAATACAAATGTTAATTTTAACTTATGAATAAATTTATTCAATCAAAAGCCTTAATATTGACTGAGCAATTCTGTTAAAATATATATTAGTAAATACAAGCGTACATTATAAGTTAATATCGATTAGACACAAGGGTAGTAACGAGAAATTTACCATTGATTCAAGGCGTTCATTATAACTAATAGTAGCAATCAAACACATCAAATAAATTCAGCTTCTCTAGGGTGTTACACTGAGAAAAGCAAATACTCCCAAAGGCCATTTATTTTTCAACTAATTTGTTGCTATTATCTTCTTCAGATGCCACCTTTTGTTCTTCCTTATCAATTTCTTCAATCTTTGTCTCCTGTGATGGAGCATGCTTGACTTCTGAGACATCCTGAAGCTGCAATTCATTCATTGATGTTGGTGCATTTAATAATAAATACAACGTAAATTGGTAAGAAATTTTCCAAAAACCACCCAGAAGTTGTAGAGTCAAATGATTCTTCCCCCAAAGACTTACCCCAAGGTTTCTTAAGCTGGCAGTAACATCCTCTTGTTGCTGCTGAAGGATAGTCCTCAGATCTTGAAATTCCTAAATTTTAATTTTATAAACACATTTCATACAACTAAATTAATTTGAAAGAGAGCGAAAATCTAGAAGCAAACTTACTGTTCGAAGTTGGTCCACTTCGACATTAAGTGTTTTCTTAAGTTCTGTCAGTTCCTGCATGAATAAAATAAAACGCATCAAAACTGGAAAAACATGCATAAAATTATAAAAGAGAACGAACTCAGCTACCAACATAACCATAAAAACAAGAAAGAAACAAGACGAGCCCATAATGAATGGCATATGTACCCTATCTGAACAAGACAAAATAAAAAATAAAAGCCATGGACCATGAAAAATCTTTTCATTTACGAAAGTAGTCAGGGCAAATATATTGCGTGCAATCTATCAGCATAATAAAATATCATAAAGATTTCTTTTCTGTTGTTCAACTCTAGGTTAAAATACAATAAATGGGTTTTGATAATTTGACCAACTCTAGCTAGTTACACTTAAAGAAGGGACAAATAGACTTTAGGCCCCCTATATAGCATATACATTACGATGATACAAACTGTTAAGATGAAAAACAAATCCAACGTGGTTTATATAGACTATAGAGAATGAACAGTTTGCAACTGATGGAGTAAAATTGCTGGTTTCTTCTAGTCCTATTGTAAAGCAGTAATCTAAAGGTATAATATAGATTATCTGAACTATTGCACCTCTTTATAGTGACACTCAAGGGGCGCACGTACCAACTCTATAACCTCTTACACAGTTACATTTCTAAAAAGCATTGGTTTACCACAGTTGATTTATTTTCCACTTGGGAGAAATGGCCTTGACCAAGAGATGTTAGCAGTTCTAACATTGAAAAAATCAAAGACAGCCCTAATATCTTTCTTCAGAAGACTTTTTTGGAATCAACACAGCACCACTACGGCACTGCTACGGCCACTATTCAGCCTGCTATTTGGTCCCCTACAGCAGCTACACTAAACTGCTCCACTAAGGCAGCCCCAGTTGCTGGCAGGGGCCGCTGCACCATTATACCAGTGCTATAGAACACTATTTAACTGATATGAAGATAAGGATAATGAAGGTAAAGGTTAAAACTACAGACCAAATGCTTTCCTTTCTGAGATAGTAGAATTGGCACAAGAACTTCCACCTGGGTCAAATGAGAAACCAGCTAAATTTGGAACAATAGGCTCCTCCATAGAGTGCCGTTGAGCAGAGACACCACATGGGTTCAAGTTTCTCAAGATGTTTAGCAACACAGAAAAAATCGTTATCCCAATTCACAAAAAGTGGTCGCTTGCCTCCAACAAATGAGGTATTAAGACTGACGGGCCAATGCTAACCAGCATGTTAATTATAAAAAAAAAAAAACTAAGAATTGAGCCCATTGCTTTATATATGAACATATATTTCCATCATACAAGGACATAGACCTTTCCATGCCTAAGTTATAAAGGATGCTTCCATCACTCGTGATAGCTTCAAATATCAAAAGTCCATCTTCCCTAGGCTTGATTGGTTTAATAGGAAGCCCTTCATCAACTAAGGCAGTTGGGTGGAACTGCATGAAGTCCATGAGCTTGGTGTGTCATGGCAATTTCCTCTCCAGTAGCTACCAAAGGATTTGTAGTTTGGGGATAAATATGTCCAACTCCACTTGAAGCAAGTAAAATTACCTTTGAGAGATCTTACTACCTTTAACATTTTAGAGTTGATTGTGTCAACACCAAGACAAATTATATCAACTCCATCTTGACAAGTGAGAAGATCTATAGCAAAATGGTATTCAAACATTAAAATATTAGGATTGTTGACAACTGTCAGAAATAGAGCCCATTCATTCTTTTCTCCAGACATATCAGCTGCATGACCAGTTCTACCATGTGAATCATGCAATCTTGAATTGATATTTTGATGATAGCAGCTGTCTCTGCTCCACGAAATATAAAGGTCTACTCTGAAGATTGAGAATTTGGTGGGCTATGTAACCTTTGTTCTATAGATTCACGAACAGCCTTTGAATCAATTGTAAGAAGTGATGACCCATCCTATATTTCATATTCAATTAAAATATTAGGCTGTGACCCACACTTATAGCTCCACTTTCCTGTCTTCTTGATCCACAATGTTCTATTTAGCAAATTGGGCTATTAAGTTAAGATTGATACCCAACTCACTAATTCCCATTTTGCCGTTGTATCTTTTGTCCACTGCACAACCAAATTGTTGTTACTAGAGAGATGCATTGTTGTATGTAGCCACAATACTCATACCTGCTCTGCTAGTTGCGATTCACTAATCACCACATGTGGGATGGCAGTGGTGGTGGAGGTGTGACTAGACCGTTAGTCACTCACCTTGGCTGTAGAAGGGCAACTGCAGGTGGAATGATGATCATTTGTTCCAGCAATGACACAAGGCTAACCAGAGTACTAAGGGTCCAAGGTTTTTCTGCCATCAAAGGGTACCCACTCTTGCTCTATTATTTTACTTTGTTATTCCTCCTTATCGATCCTTACATCCACACCCAAAGACTCTTCTGTCTTGTCCTCCTCTACTTGTGCCCTGACTCAAGTATCCATGATCTTGTCAAGCATCAATTCCCTCCTTCTTTGGTCTTCATGTTTCAAGCTAATCAACATTTCAAAAATATTGATACAATAGTTCGCTAAGAATCTCTCTATCAAAGCAATGGAAAATGACTCCAAATTTGCATTGAGGTCCTCTTGACACCAAGATTGAAATCAAAGCATTGCTTCACCCTCCAGGCTCATGAATGCCCATTGTAGCTTATCACATGGATGAATTTCTTGCTCTTCAAAATACCCTTGAGCCCAAATAATCCACCCAACAGGATCTATTCACCTAAAGTCCGGCAACTCCACTTTCTTGGCCCACATGTTCTCCATCTCCGGTGATTGGTTCCGCCTCGAGAAATCAAACAAGTCGGACCAATTGATAGAAACCAGATTTAGTAGAAACAAAAAACAATATTATTGATTTGAAAACAAAACTATTACAGAACATGACTCCTGTAATTCCAGAGCTATTGCTCCTCAGAGAAGAGATAATTCTCTATCTACCCGATCCATAAGGTTTCTAACAGAAAAGATCACCATGCCTTCTCCTTACTGTCCCCTCTCCCTATAACTACATTGCCTCCCTTGACCAACTAGCCACATCAACATTTGTATCTCATTTGTTTTCAGCCCAGCTGTTGGGCTTAGGCCCAAACCCAGTATCCTAACACTATAGCACTGCTATAGTGTGCTATTGACTACTGTGATGTAAACTTTACAAGAAAAATAAAAACAAGTCGCTAGTTTTCTCCAAGGCTAATCTAATATATTTGCCTCAAATGCAATTGAGAAACAAAAAGCTCAGTGTCATCTTTGGAAACACCCAAAATCCAAATAGGCAAAATAATGACAGTGAGTTTAGAAGTGAGGTTTTGAAAAAAAGATAAATTGAGAGTTACTTTATTTAACGTTTATAAAAGCAAACAAAAAAGCAGAACATTAAGTTTATACTAATCTATCACTTAATTTCTTTTTATTTAAAAAAATCAAACAAAAGTAAATATATAAGAAATTTAATTTTTTCCCTCCCTTTTATTTTTCTGCCTCCAAATATATCCTAGCAAAATACATCCACATCCACAAATCACAAAGAACTCTGAGGGAGCTAGTGTTATTAAGCATAAGAATCTTTTTTTTGATAAAACTATAAAGCAAAATGCAGTGTTTCACAGACATAGATCATCCATCATCACTTACATCGCGATAGACCTTGACTTGTGTGTCTAACCTAGAGCTCCAATTTTGCAAATCCTAGAAATAGATCCAAAGAAATATATTAATAAAATCAGCAAAAGTGAGCTACCAGGTAAAATTAGTGCTCAGGAATCTTCATTTTTCATTTCTCATAACTAACAAACAACAGCACGAAAATGAAAACAACAGCAAAAATAATACTAAATGGCACACCTGTTTCAAGCTCTGAACTCTTCCGAGAAGCTCCGATCTCGATTCATTAAGCTCCTGAGAACAATCCCAAGAAGGCTTAGGCGTGGGAAGCTCCATTTACTATTAAAGTTACAATTTAAAAAAAAATAAATAAAAGGAAAGAGCTCGTACCGCGATTTTGGAGGAAACGGGAGTGATGTTCTCCTTCTTCTGAAAAAAAAAAGAAAAAAAAAGGAAAAGTAAGGGGTAAATAGGAACGTTGGAAGTGGAAATTGAGAATGACGAAAGGAAGAGAAGAATAGATACGAGGGAGAGAGGAAGAGAGGGATCAGGGTTGGCCATTGAGGATTGTTCCTTGTTCTAGGGTTTGTTTGATTGAATGGGAGCGTGGTTTGGTGACACCAACGTACGTTATAAACAAAATGAAAGTGACCAACAGACAACAAACGAGCTCAAATTTTGAAAAATGACGGATAAGGAGATCCGATTCGGCGGGATTTCGAAATTTACCAGCAACTTGCAGGCCTGTTATTTATACCACCACCTTTTTTTTTATTTATTTATTTAATTTAACTAAAACGCCACGAATCATTATTGGATCACATTTCCCAGGGAAGCCTCTCCTTCCGGTTCTATCAACTATCAAGTCTAATTTGGAATACTTAATATTTTAAAATACTGTGTTAAAATAGTATTTTACTAATAAAAAATTATAAATTAAAAATTAGTCTTTGAGTGTAAAAATTTTAAAGAGATACATACCTTAGAAAATCAAATAGAAACTAAAGTGATTGTTTTAAAGATTGATAATGACTTAGTGTTTATTATAGAAAATTTTGTAGTAAATATGGAATTAAAAGTCATAAAATTATAGCTCGTGATTTTTAACAAAATGGTCTAACTGAAAGAATGAACATTATCATTTTGGAATGTGTGAGGTGAATGTTATAGGATGTAGGTCTGCCAATGAGTTTTTGGGGTGAAGTAAAATTATTGTAGTGTATTTGATAAATAGATGTTTATCTTCAACTTTAAGTTTTAAGACACCTATGAAAAATTAGAGTGATAAATCAAAAACTATTCAAATATGAAGGTTTTTTGTGTTCTAGCTTTTGCTCATATCGAGAAAAATAAATTGAGGTTCAAGCTCTGAAGTGTATTTTCATTAGTTAGGTGTGAAGTGTTATAAGCATCAAAAGTTGGATCTTGGAAAGTCAAGATGTTTTATAAGTAGGGATGTCACATATGATGAAACTATAATGGAGATGGTGTGTAAAAGCCTAAAAAAAAAAAGCAACTCAAGAAAAACTCAATTTGAGGTGGAGTCTCCTATTAGTGATTTTGAAAATAGTAATACACCAATAGATGGCGTACCATAAATAATGTATCATTTATTAATTCAGACTATTAATTGACAAGATATAGGACTAGGAGGAATCTTACTAAGACATAAAGTAGGAGGCTCAATTCTTAAGTTTTATGCTGATTAGAAATCTTTTTTAAGGGGGGCACACTTTCCCTTTATCTTTTGTGTCTTGTATAGATAAACTTAGTGCAACAATTATTCATGAAGCTTAACTATAAAATTGGAAACTTTGAGAGTGTCAATAAATATGCTACATTTCTTGTACTTTTGTGAATGATGCTCTCTTATTTACAAAGGCTAGGGCCTTAATTCAACTTTTAGCTTATGTGCTACATTTTTTTTCAAAAACATCATTGTTTTACTTCTAATAGTGTTTCTAAGTGACATAAAGAATAGGTAAAAAAAAAATTGCAAGTATCACTTTCAAGACCTAATAGTCATTAAAAAAATTGTCACACAAAAATGGGACTATAAGTTTCACAAGTGGTCAATTTAATGATTTAGATGAAAAATGATGGACAAGTTATCTTGTCTTATTTTAACATATTATACGTGAGTCTACAGGATATGATAAACATACTCTATTATCCTATTATTTATTTCAAAAGTTGTCTTAAGGAGGAAGTAGGTTAATAAAAAGCACAATAGGATAAACAATACTATCTTTTTACCATCTCCTCTGTATTTTATTTTCATCAAAACAATTGTAACAAAAGTTTTCAAACTCTATTCGGATAGATCAATTTGACCGGTTAGCCTAGGAACCAGGCTTCTACCTCGAATCAAGAATGCCTTTAAACTAATGCGACCTGATTTGACTCGATGGATTTTGCGAAAAACTAGTTGCCCAATGAATCACATTGACCCAATTAGGTCATACATTTTTCATCAAAATTTGAAAAGGCCACATAAGGGATTGAAACCTGCTCATGTGAAAAGTTTAAACAATTTAGCCACCACACCATTGAAACTTTTTGATAAATGAATGAGAGATTAAGTAATGTGTAATATTTTCAATATAAAATTTAATGCATTTATTTATTGTTGGATCTCATTGGCTTGTGGAAGAAGTTTTAAAAAATGAAAATTTTGCACCAAATAAGAGTAGAAACCAAGTCCTTGTGGGTTTTTGAAAAATTTATAACTACTAAATTATTGTGTAATTTTGGTCTACATTTGACAAAAAGTAAAATTTATATTACATAGTTAATAATTTTTTTTAATAATATATCAACTAATGTATTTTAACTTGTAATTCATTAACTTAATTAATGTCTTAATGTCTTGATCAAGTCAATCACAAATATAATTTTGCTAACATTGATTACAATCACTATCATTACAACAAATACAATTACTATGTTTGACACAATTATTATTGCTTCCATTATCTTTGCCTTCAAAACTTTTAAACAATCACTCTATAACCATTGTTATTATTGTCCAAAACATTATTATTATAATCATCAATACTATTAATTCATGTCACAACCACTACTTTTTATAAGGATAATTTTATCTTTCAAATAATTATATTGCACATCAAATTCTAAATAAGATAGAAAAGACTTTATATATATATATATATATATATATATATTCATAGCATTTTTATTACTTTTATTTTACTTTTTCATCTTATTTATTCTCACCATCTCTAAACGCAAATTACAAAAATTAGGAAAGAAATTAAAAATAAAACAAAATAGTTTAAATTATTTTTCTTTTTCAATAATTTTAAACATGGCCTGGTGATTAAGAGTAATAATAAAAATTAATAAATTTTTAAGTATTTTTTAATAATACTAAGTAATTTTATTAAACAATGTATATACCTTACACTCCATAATTAGTAATGAGAATACTTCATAGATTGTCTTATTTTTTTTAAATCGTCAAAATTACAATGTCATAATAAAGTTTTAATCTAAAACCTTATGTATTCTATTCTCACTCTCACCACTAAAGTTGAAATAACATATTCTAGTCTTTTATATAAAAATAAAATTTAAAAAATCTTATCCTTTACTTAGTTTAAATTATTTATTTATTTGAAAAAGGTTAAAATAAAGCATTATTTAAAAAAAAAATGTTCCCTAACAGAGGCTGAAAGAGAGAAACAAAGAAATGAATTAATGGGTCATGAGAAAAGGGTGTGATACGATATGTGTCTTGAGAACTACTTTTACTTTAATTAAAAGGAAAGTAAAGAAAATAATATTAAAGTAATAATAATTAGATATATATGTTGAAGCATGCATAAAGTAATAATTAGGGGAGCTTGTGCGCTTCAGAAAGGAACTATTGATCAACAAAAGCAACCAAAAAGGTTCGGCCACAGTTCCCGCCTACTTTCACTTTAATTATACATTTCATAACATTTTTCTAATACTCATAATTATCCACTTAAATTAAATCGGCTTATTTAAGTTTTCCTTTAAGAATATTGTTCACGCAAAATCTCAAATTAAAAATGTGACTACTAAATATTATTCTAGTTTTTGCCAACTAAATATTGTTTTTACACTAAAAAAATTAATTTAAGTTCCGTTTTATAACAGAATGTATAATTATTTTTTTTTAATATTCATTGTTGATCATAGTGACTAATCTTCTCGTTAAGTTAAAGATATTTCAAAGAGTATGATAACTGATCTCAAGATATAACGCGGTTACATATACAAAATAGGATTCAAATTCTTAATCTTGCTTAAGCATGAATCAACCATTACATTGAATCACGTTTAACTATTAGAGGAAGAGGCTTGATTTTGCGTATCCAAATCTAGAACTACAACTATTTAAACACACTTAATATTAATCTAAAACTTTGTCACTTAATAACATAACTATAAAATTAAAACACTTTCAGATAAGGTGCTCAATATTTTCAATAAACTTGTGATTCCTTAATTTGCGAGGAAAAAAGGAAAATTCTTTCTTGATGACAAAGTAAAAAAAAAAAAAAAAAAAACAAAAGGGGCATAGAAATTGGTAACGGTAGATGCAGAGCGTAAGAAGCAGAGGAAGCAGCACGCAGTGTTGTGTTGTGTTTCTTCTCTCTGAGTTCCGAGTGGACTCAGTTTGGAGCAATGAGTCAGGAATCGTTCATATATAGCTTCGTGGCTCGTGGGACGATGGTGTTAGCTGAGTACACAGAGTTCACTGGAAACTTCCCTGCCATTGCAGCTCAGTGTCTCCAGAAGCTTCCCTCTTCCAACAACAAGTTCACCTACAACTGTGACCATCACACCTTTAATTTCCTTGTTGAAGATGGTTATGGTAATGCTCCCACTCACTTGATCCCATCTTTCTATGGGTTACATGTTTTGTGTGAAACAAAGAGGAATGTGGAATTTGAATTGTTAGTTTCTAGCTGCTGGATCTAGTCTTGAAATGGATGTGACTTTGAGGGGGTGTTATGTGAGCATAAAGGTTTCATCTTTTGGGTTTTCTTAGCCTTTTGATTTAATTTTCCTTGTGGGTTTTGTTTGCTTCTTTTATGGGTTCTTACCAAATTTTGTGTCTCAGGAAAAATTTAGTCCCATCAGGTCAGCCAGAGATAATGTTAAATCGATTTTGTAAGTTAGAATTAGATCAGAACTTATATTTTAAATAATATCAGTTTATCCTAGTCCATTAAATGGGCCAACCAATATAGAGAAGCAGAATTTGGGTTGTTAAGTTCAAATTAAGGTTTGTTAGTCTTCTATAAGGGTATGCTTTTGCCTTTTGGTGACATTCATTTAAAAGAAGTAATTATACGTTCATTATATATAGGAACACTTGATTCCAATGTCATCTGGTGCCCTTGTCCATCAGCAATGAGGGATCTTGTCTTGATGGGATATCTGATATAGGGGCAGTTATGCAACAGATAGTCTACAAACAAAGATTAATCTTGTGAATGTGAAGTTGTTTAATTTTCCTTGAGTTGGGCCTAGGCTGCAATAGTAATTCGTAGTCGATGGAGGTCTTTGAGAGATTAAAGACTTTGCAAGTTTTAATTCCAATAATTACTAATTTTTTTGGTTTATATAGGCATATAGCCAACGAAAACCAACAATGCAGCCTCTAGATGGATGTGTGTGTTTGTTTGAAATCTGGTGTTTGGGCCAACTTCTGAAATTAAAATCTGAGTTGCAACACAATGAGTATTTTATTGCTTTACATATGGGCTTTCTGTAAATTGCAGCGTACTGTGTTGTTGCCAAGGAATCTGTTAGCAAGCAGATTTCCATTGCTTTCCTTGAACGTGTCAAAGCTGACTTTAAAAAAAGATATGGCGGCGGAAAAGCAGATACAGCTATTGCCAAGAGTCTGAACAAAGAGTTTGGGTATGCTCATTTTGTTCTAAATCTTTGGTGGTGTTTGATATCTTAAATTCTTAATGCTTGGATAGACGAACTGAATAGGAAGTTAAATAATACGGATGCACATTTGCAGACCAGTTATGAAAGATCATATGAAGTATATCATCGATCATGCCCAGGAGATTGAAAAGCTAATTAAAGTGAAGGCTCAAGTTTCCGAAGTTAAGAGTATCATGTTAGAAAATATAGACAAGGTACTGTATTATTGTTTAGGAGTAAGGTTTTCCCCCCTAGTATTCAGTCACTTCCTAGTGCAGTTGGCACTATGCATCCTGGCCTAATATATAATCCATTAGCATTTTTATGTTCTCCTCTCTTGAAATAAGAAGGATAATTTTCATACTAGTTTAATCATAAGCTAATTTGTAGAAGTTTTTTCTTATTAGTTTCTTCAAAATCTTATTTTTTAACTTTTGCATAAACTAGTTTTAATTTATGGAGAAACTTATTTCGATTTTCCTTCCTATTTTTCTTTTTAGAAGTGTTTTGATAAGACCCAGCTCAAATGAATAGGAAATTTGGATATAAACACAGAATGAACTAAATCAGATTGAATAAATCCCTGTCATAGTATTAATATCAAGAAAGAGTTATGAAAAATAGAACAATGGTTGGAGTACAGCTCCTTGCAAAAATGGAAATTAAGAAGTATAGACTATGGAACCCTTTCCCGAGGAAGAAGCCTTCATCACTCAGCCTAGCCACCCACAATGTATTCCCCCCCACCCCTCAATAGTTACTCTCGCCTCCAATATACCCTTCATTTTTTTGTTGCATGATTCCCATATCCTCCCCTCCAACCTTTTTCTGCCAGCTGTCCATTCTGTTATGCCCACCTTCTCTCTCTTCCAATTCTCTAGCAGTTGCCAACAGGCCTAGTTTCTTGGGCCCATTTATCCCTTTTATTCCTTCAGCCCCTTTTCTCCCTTTCCTTCTATATACTTTTATAATGGGCCTATCATGTTTATGGAAAAATTTATCCAAACAGGCTTAATGTAGAAAAGCAGGGGTGGAGGGATTTGATTCTGTGAGGATTGCTATGTTTGTATGCAGACTACTTTATTGCAATTTTTGGGTGGTATCCAGGAAAAGTTCACTATCATTCTGTGTCCCTCCTAATACTTCTTCAGAAACATTCAAGAATTGAAATTTTTTAAAAGAATGTAAAATACTTGGACGTGCACTATGCTTGAATACTTGCTCCTGCTTCACCCTATTATTGGTGATGACTTGCAATGACAGTTTAACGTGTATTCCCGTGTGAATCTATAATTATAGAACTATTTGCTATTAATCAGTCATTTGCTGCTGTTTGCAGACAATAAGTTTCGCTCCACTATCCAAAACTTTCGGCGACTACATTATAACCTATCAAGTTCTCTATACCATTAAAAAATTTCCTTACATTGTTTTGTTTGTATTTGTTATTATGAGTTTGTTTAGATAAGTTTCTTTAGAAGGAGAGACAAATAAGAAAAAATGAAATAAGTTTTTTCATTAACTAAAATTAGCTTATGCATGAGTTTAAAAATAAGTTTTTGGAGAAAGCTAATATGAAAGAGTTTCTATAAATTAACCTGTGAAGAAACTTATTTTATTTTTCTTTCTTATTTTTCTCTCCTAAAAGTACTTGTGAAAAAGTTTATCCAAACAAATCTTATAGATTACACGGTTGCCTTATTGGAAGTTGTATTCTAGCCAGATGTGTTGATTGCAATGTTTGACAAGATTTATTTTCATTTTGTGTTTTCAGGCTATTGATAGAGGAGAAAATCTAACAATTCTTGCAGATAAGACAGAGACATTACGTTCACAGGTGAGTAAAGTTGACTAAGGTTAGACAATTTTTTGTTTTTCGAATGCTTTCCAAGGCTGAGGATTTCCTAATTTTCAGGCTCAAGATTTCAGAAAACAAGGAACACAAGTCCGTCGGAAGATGTGGTATCAGAACATGAAAATTAAATTGGTTGTTCTGGGAATTTTGTTGTTTTTGGTCTTGGTTATTTGGCTTTCTATTTGTGGTGGATTTGACTGTACAAACTAGCAGTGATTGAAATTTTCCAGATAGATTTTTCAAAATGATGTATTTGTGGACAATTTAGCAAGAAAATCAACTCAAAGGGAGAGTTTGGCAATTGAAAGATAAAGAAAATAGCTTACCTTTGGTAGTTGATAATGATGATAATATATGTTGGAAATTCTAGAAAATAGAGGGAGAGGGTAATGTATGTGTAGCTGTGTACCATGTGATGCACTGTTTGATCTACAAACAATACAGTTGTAAATTTTTTCCTTTTAACTTTTAATATACAAAAACTGTTGTCAACTTAATTTCTGTCAGTTCTTCTGAATAACTTACTTTGATCTTTCCTCCCCAATGAAATATGATTTCTTTTTTAAATAATTATTTAAGGAAAATTTGACAAAGATGTTTATAGGGAGAGTGAAGGAATGAAGCTGGATAATGAAGTCAATATGTAGCCTTAGTTGTGATTTACACTGGGGATATGACATGGCCATACAGGTATGAAATGATAAATAAGGGCTTTTTATGTATAAACTATCTAAAATGTAAATATATATTAAATAAAAAAGATAGACATAATTTAATTAAAAATAATATATTTTATTACATGAAGGATATATATCAAATAAATTTAGGGCTTATGCATACATGAAGGATTGAGTGGGTTTGACTTTCATGTTCTCGCCCTTACCATAAATGTTGCATGTTTCACGCTGAGTTTAAGAGGGTTTGAAAGATGGAAAATTTAAGAGTTAGAGACGAAATATTTAAGTCCAATTTCATCTTTACTTGGTTAGGTGAAAATTGCGGGAAATTGTTACATCCTAAAAAAAGTTACTTGTATATATTTTCAAAGATTATAAAGGCTAAAAACCTATTTTACTCCCTTATAATAATTGTTTGTTTTAATTTAGTCTTATTTTTATTTTTGGTCTCAATTTAGTCCTTAATAAATTAATTGGTTTCAATGTGGGACTTCCGTCTAAATTATTTAAACGGAGTTAACTGTTGGTCATGTGGATGCCACGTAGATGCATAAGTGGATGCCAAATTTCTTGAAAACACCTGGAACCAGAACGGCCCGTTCTGAAACCAGAACGGGCCATTCTGTATGCACTATTCGTGTGTTAATTTTTTATCTAAAACGGGTCATTCCAGATGTAAAATTAACACACTACCAATACCTCCGAACGGCCCGTTCTGAATCCAGAACGGGCCGTTCTGGATTCAGAACGACCCGTTCCAGAACGCCAGTTAATTAAAAACAATAGAATATTTTATATTAATTTTATTAAAAAATATAATAATTTTGAAAAATATTTTTTGATGGTAAAAATTTTAAAATTACTTATTTTTATAAAATACAATTGTCTTATAAATAAAGTAATAACTTTTTTTTTCTCTTTCTGTCTGAAGAAATATTTAAGTGTCACTTTATAATTTTTTGTAACTTATTTAAAATTAGAGGAATAAAATGATAAAAATTAATAGGATAAACATAATAAAATTATTAATTTATTTTCTTTTAGTGTCCTCTAAATTTTTACATTCATTTAAAACAAAAATATTTTATATGTTAATTTGAATTAATTTAACGAAGTATCATATGATTTTTAATTTTTTAAAAATTTTTATAAATTTGATCTATACATGAAAAACTTTTTAATTTAACAATTAAATTCTTAAAAATTTGATATAGAACATTAATTATTAAATAGAATAAATCTATCAAGACTTACTCTTGAAGTAAGTAAATTTTTTCTTCATTAAAAATGAAGATAATTTTACCACAAAATAAAAAAAAATTAAACAATAAAATAAAATATAAAAAAATATATTAATGTATTTATTATATTAGATATAACAAGATAATTAAAATATAATTAATAATATATATTTTATAAAATTATTAATATTTTATATATAAAAAAAATGAAAAAAAATTTAGTGGGGGCAAGTGCCCCCGCTATGATTAACTTAGATCCGTCCCTGCATGTGGTTGTGTGATTAAATATTAGTCTTATGTATCCTCTTCCTTTACTTCAAGTTCTACCTCTTCAAGAACAGGTTCTTGTTGTTGGGGTACATCATTAATGACTTCAAGGAAAAATACCATGTATTTTCATCCTTTACTGTATAGTGTCAATTTGGTAGTAAGTGGTTCACTCCAGTTTGACTAACAATGAAATAAAATCTGTTACCATTATTTTTAGTGATACACTGCATTGTCCTTAATGATACACTGTATAGCCCAACTGTTTAGCAATTGAAGTTATCAATTTTCATTGACAATATTATCAAATCCAGTATTTGAAATGTTTTGTACCAAATCCACGTGGATGCTGATTTTTTAAAGAGAAATTCTACGGTACCCACTATAAATGTGGGGTACCGGAACAGTCATTTTATTTTTTTTATTTTTATTTTTATTTATAATTACTTGTTTTATTTTTTAATTTAATTTAATATTTTTAATAATTTATCTGTATTTTTATATTATTTTTTATATTTTTTAATTTATATCTTAATATAGCATCTATTATAATTAAAAAATTTAATATTAATATTTTGTTAATATGTTTTA